CATGGACACAGAAATACATAAATAAATATATGAATATATTTATTTATATATTATTTTTTATATGAATTGTTGCATTTATATATTATATATATATATATATATATATATATATATATATATATATATATATATTTATTTATTTATACATTATTGTATGCATTTCTCCCAACATTTATTTATTTATTTATACTTTAGTCATTTTCTGTCCCTCACAGTTTTTAACCGCTGTTGTGACTAATAAAAACGTCTCATTGAACCAGTAGTAATAGCAGGCTTCGTCCACTGGGGGGCGCTGTCTGCTACACTGGCTCACAGCTAACAGAAGCTGGTTTGTTCATTTTGCTCCGACGCTGCTGGAAATGCCTCTAAAGGTAAACGGACTCTGGCTTTACCTCGAGAAAACAGCTTTGTAGAGCAAAGTTTCTGGGAGTAAAAAAAGTTCTCGGACGTGCTTTGAGACGAGTCGTGGAGCAGGATAAGTTATTTTGGACATTTTGGATGAGGATTTATTTTCCGCCTTTGAAGCTCGCAAGTTTAGACAGCTAACAGCTAACACCGACTTTTGCTAACGTTAGCCTAGCCTAGCCTAGCCTAGCCTGCTAGGTAAATATCACCTAACGCCTTTCGGTTCTTCCTCCTGCTGTCTCCACTTCATCAACAACTTTAGTATTTCTAAGTGTTTTGCTGTTTTTTTCCTGTCCTCATAGTTCGCGCCTCGCCAGCAGAATGCGTCTCTTTTTGCTACATTACACACAATGCTAACTTAGCTTCAGTTAGCATGCTCTGATAGAAGCTAACAGCGACTCCACGGGAGATCTTCTGCTGCGCTCCCCGCGACGTTACCCAGCCCGTGTTGTTTCAGAGCGGTCATGTTTGAGATGGAGACACACATTTCGTGCCTTTTCCCGGAGATCCTGGCGATTATCTTCAGTTATCTGGAGGTTAAGGACAAAGGGAGAGTAGCCCAAGTGTGCGCGGCCTGGAGAGACGCGTCCTACCACAAGTCCGTGTGGAGGGGGGTGGAAGCCAAGCTGCACCTCAGAAGAGCCAACCCGTCTCTGTTCCCCAGCCTGCAGACCAGGGGCATCAAGAAAGTCCAGATCCTGAGCCTGAGGCGCAGTCTGAGCTACGTGATCCAGGGGATGCCTCACATCGAAAGCCTTAATCTGTGCGGGTGTTTCAACCTCACGGACAACGGACTGGGACATGCCTTTGTGCAGGACATCCCGTCCCTGCGGGTACTCAACCTCAGCCTTTGTAAACAGATCACCGACTCCAGCCTGGGGAGAATCGCCCAGTACCTGAAGAACCTGGAGGTGCTTGAACTCGGGGTTGCAGTAACATCACAAACACGGGGCTGCTGCTCATCGCTTGGGGTTTGCACCGGCTCAAGAGTCTCAACCTGCGCAGCTGCAGGCATGTGTCCGACGTGGGCATCGGTCACCTGTCCGGTATGACCCGCAGCGCCGCAGAGGGCTGCCTGTCCCTGGAGAAGTTGACCTTACAGGACTGCCAGAAGCTCACCGACCTTTCCCTCAAACACGTCTCAAAGGGGTTAAACAAACTCAAAGAACTCAACCTCAGCTTCTGCGGAGGGATATCTGACGCAGGCATGATCCACCTTTCACACATGACCCACCTGTGCAGCCTGAACCTGCGGTCCTGTGACAACATCAGTGACACGGGGATAATGCATCTGGCCATGGGCTCCCTCCGGCTCTCTGGACTCGACGTCTCCTTCTGTGACAAGATAGGAGACCAGAGCCTGGCGTACATAGCTCAGGGGCTGTATCAGCTCAAGTCCCTGTCCCTGTGCTCCTGTCACATCAGCGATGACGGCATCAACAGGATGGTACGCCAGATGCACGAACTGAAGACACTCAACATCGGACAGTGTGTGAGGATCACAGACAAAGGGTTGGAGTTGATAGCTGACCACCTGACCCAGCTGACCGGGATCGACCTATATGGTTGTACTAAGATCACCAAGAGGGGTCTTGAGAGGATAACGCAGCTGCCGTGCCTTAAAGTGTTAAATCTGGGACTGTGGCAGATGACTGAGAGCGAGAGAGTGAGGTGAAAATCTCTCCTGATGTGTATAGAGCTCGGTGATGTACTGAGCGGGTCTGCCTGTATTCATTCTTCATTTTTACTTGTGACTCAAAACCAAGGAGGGGGGACTCTGCATTGATCACTGGAATATTGCTGCAATACTCCATTTTCTTATTCATAATAAGTGTCGGCCTTGTGCTCGCTCTCTTTTTTCATGTGCATTGTTTTAATCTCAGCCTGTGTACAGTTCTTACTCTCTAGCTACCTCACCTGTCAAACACAGGAGTGCCTACTATCGCTGAATACTAAATAACTTGCATATTTTTGTGACTTACAAACTGGAGATTTTTGATATTTTAAGGTCTCGTTGAAGAATAACAGTTAGTAGGTGTTTAACCATTAACAGAAAGGCCGGAGGACCTTGGACTACATTTTTGGATGTCTCTCTGGCTGATATAAGTTTTTCTTGTGTAACCAATATTTTTTTGTATTGAATGACTGTTGTTGACAAAATTGTACTTCAAATTGAAGTGGTTGGATCGCTCCTGTCTCTCTTTGTTTACCTAATGTATAGTTGGCTTTGTTTCATATTCCTGAGGAAAATAAGTATGATTGCTACTCCTTCTAAAAGGGTTATCAACAGAGCTACAGTAAGGCGTAGTGATTCACAGCTGCCAAGGCTTTATGCAATACCTTAAAAACTGTTTATCAGTGTTTTTTCTCCTGAGGAGCTTCCAACAATAGTGTCAGAGTATTTGTTTAAAAAAAAGCAGTAATTTAATATCGTTTTATATTCATACAGTAGTGATATTTATGAATAAAGATGGCAATTATGTTTCAGTTTTTTGTATTTTGAAGTTGTTCACTGTTTGATTTGTTTTATATTTAACTAAAGAATAGATTTGCTCTTTTACTTAATACTCCACAGCTTCACAGTCATTTTCATGTAGATACCAGACAAGATAATCAGATTTCTTTCATTTCTTTTAGTCAAACATGTCGTTAAGATGGGGAAATAAATCATGTTTTTTTTTAGTCAAAATTAAGCACAACAGTCACACATACTCCCTATTTTATTTGAAACAAATCTCTTTGTTGATGATTTTAGATATACGGTATACCCCTTTAACATATAGAGGTGGCATATTTATGGAGAGGGTTTGATGCTTGTGTGATTCCAGCCGGGTTTTTAACTGTTTCTGATCCGGGGTTGCAGACACTTGCATCTTATGTCAACAAATATAGAAATGTCTTATAGGAATAAATTAAACATAAAAAAATCTCCCATAGGCAGTTTAAATATGATTTTTTAAATGTCATTAAGTCCTGATTGTTATTGGGATAAGTTCATCTTTTATTGATCCCCAGAAGAGAAGTGTTTGCATCAGATAAAAAAAAAAAAAGTGTTACAATTTCAAATGTGTTTTCCTAAAAGACAACTACGGGTAGATGTAACATGTTTTTTCCCCCTTTAAATCCAATTGATTCAAGCTTTGCATGTGTTGTGCTTCTCTTCAAACTGGTTAAAGAACATAACAATCAAGGCTTATAATTTATTTATTTACATTCATACAAAATCCAAATAACTCACAAACATGTCTGTTTTAGCTTTCTTTTTTTACACAATATGATTCTTAACACGAACAGACAGAAGGCAGTACATTTCTCATACCAATTCAAAACAAAAAGAAACTTAATAGCATGAAGTTGACAGAAGCCCCTGAATCGGCTCTGTGTTCCTCAATAAGGAGTGGTGAAAGGAGATGACGAGACGTTAAGGCGAGGGCGGGAGAACACAGGCCAAAGTAAGGGGAACAAAACACTTCTTTTGAACCCAACTGTGTAAGTTTTGGGGGTTTAAAAGGGACACAGAAATTAATCTTCACTTAGAAGTTTGAAAGACAACAAGCACAAAAAAAGCATCCAACTAACATCCTCTGGAAACAGGTCTGTGTTTTGTTTTTATTTTAAAACCAATGTTACTCCAACCACGCACTAATCTAAATTAAACCCCCAAAGGAGACTTGTTAGAGCACTCCCTGACGCAGTTTGTTACCGTTTTGTTTTACTCTGTTGTGATGGAACGGCAGAAGAGCCATGAGAGTTGGAGACCTATTTTTTATCCATCAGGCTGCCATTGACATCAACAAAAAACAAAAACATTGACATAAAGAAAGACAACACTGAAATGTCAGGAGGATAATACATTTACATCACATATGGTGAAAACAATAAAAAATGACCATTAGAAATAAATGCAAGAACTGTACTCTCCCATCACACAGTCACGGTTTGAAAACATTTTGTAGTTCACACGTTATTTTTGACACAAGATTTTTGACACTTCTCTGCTCAGTTTGTGCTGAGGACACGAACTCCACGGCCATTTTTGTTCAGAGCAGCGTGCTCCTCGAGATTCTGTGCAAACATTCAATGCATATCCATACAGTAAACATTTTCATATATATGTATTATATTTTTATATATATATATCTCTATAGAACATGACTTTCTGCAAATTATGGCAGTACTGTCACACACACACACATTTTGTCCTGCAGACAAAATTAGACACAAAAGACAACTGCACTGCTTTTAACTTTTCTTTTTTTTTTTTTAAAGAATGCACAACACCTTCCACGTAATCACCTTTATTCACTGTACGTGTTAAATATCCCGTTATTTACAAACTGATTTAAAAAGTCAAAATCCGCACAAAAGTGACTTTAAATTTCCTGTTAACGTAGTTGCACTTAGTACTTAAAAACCTCAGCCCTGAAGATTTCACAAAAAAACAACAAGAGGCATAACTTGGCTATTTTCAGTGATCTGAAAAAGACAAGAAAAAAAACAACAACAAGGAGTTACTAGTTGTTTTTTTTAAGATTGAGTCAACAAACTAAAAGGTCAGGTGGGCTTAAAAAAGTAACACCTATAAGAAACTTTGGATGTAACGAATGATCAGCGGATCAGATTAAAAGTCCTTAACATCATGCCTTAGCACCAGTATGACAGAGAAATCCACATCCCTGTGATAGGTCCAGTACTTATCTCTGTGAATGCTCCAAGGCCACTTAGAACGCTCTCAAAATGAAACATTGCATACCTCATAAACAAGTGGACGTCATGTGCAAAACCATCTAAAAATTAATACGTCATCAAGAATAAAAGCTGTTTTCTCTCTCTCTCTCTCTCTCTCTCACACATTTGAGAACAAAGTGTAACTAAAAGCTGACTTTTTGATCCAAGGTCACGACCTCGATCCCTCTCTTAGCCACACAGGACACAGTAAAGACGTACCTACCACCTAATCCTGACTACAGCCTTGACCTGGGAGAGGAAAACATTTACACAAAACGCTGCATTTATTTGGTTTTAAGAGTGGCTTTTCCTAAGAGTTCACACCATCTGCCACCAGTAGCTGTGACTCAAGCCTCCTAGTTGTGGAACGCTACCTAAAATACCAGCAAGCATCTCTACATGGCTTCATGATTTACCCTCTGTGCTCCTGGGTTCTACGACTGAAAAAAGTGCTTTCCCGCCCCGTGTAGGAATAAGCTTCTTCCTGTTTTCCGTTTCGACTTGAAAGACCTGCGAGAGAGAGACTAAAGGGGTCAGAGACTGAGATAAAAGGTTAGTGAGGTAACTGTGCTTGATCTTACACTTCCTGCAGTGAGTGAGGACCTCTAGGGAGAGGAAGCATGGCAGTATACTCAAAGACTTTGTGCTGAAGTTTGGTTCTTTTTATCTGAATTCCCTCTCTCTCTCCTCTAATGCACCTGTCCCAGACTTTATTTTACTTTACTACGAACAAGAAATCCAATTTGGAGAGTTCACAAATGCTAAATCAGTCAGCTTTAGAGTTTCTAAGCTGGCTTTTTCATGAACTTCTTGTATGCTCGGTTCCTGTCTGAAATGAGCACATCTGTAATTTATTTTTTTGCAAGCTCGACATCAGAGATGAATGACACAGGAAAGCACTTTAGAGTCCGAGGGGTTTTTGTTTCAGAATGGACAAAAAGGAGCGAGGCAGAGAAGCTCAGTAGGGTCTGATAAAAGTCCTCGTATCCTTCCAAGAGCATCGTCGAGTGGAGGTAGGGGCTTCCTGGGCTCAGCTACAGGTCCATGTAGAGACCAGGGCTCAGCCCCGGTTGTGTCTGAGGTTCAGAGTTGTCAGCATGACTCCTCCAGGGCGTTGACCACCTGCTCCAAGATGTCCGGGCAGTAATCGGCGATCTGCTGGAGAACAGAGTTGGCGTACTCCTGCAGCTCGCCGCTCTCCTTCTCACACACCTCAAGTTCACGCTCCAACTAGACGGGGGAAAAACAAATAAGTTGATTCATTTCAATCCTAACTGTCAAGAAAGTGACGCATTTTTAACCAGAAACTGACACATGCATCGGACAAAGATTGAGGGTTCCTCCTCTACCTGCTCTACACTCATCTTCTGGACCTCCTCCTCCCAGTCTTCGGGGTCGTTTTGGTGGTAGTGAGAAGGGGGCGTGAGCTGGCTGAGGATGCTGGGGTCCCGGTCGTGGCAGAGGTCTGTCAGGTGGGCGATGTAAAGCTTTAGCTTGCTGCGGTTCTGGGAGAGGGCTAGAAGAGGGGCGATCATCTTCGGGGGGAGAAGAGAAGAAAAAGATAATTAATTAATTTTAGCAGAGGAAGGAAGGAGACAAAAATAAATCATGTTCAACCCAAGACAGATTTTTGTTTGCATTGTCTGAACACAATGAAAGACCCACACACACAAGACTCCACTTAAATGAAAACATTTCAGAAATGAAGACAAAGAAACATCAAGGCCTGCATGCATTCATCACCATCTTCAAGTGCCTTACTTTTGTAAATATTGATTTTTTTTAAACCATCCAATGCACCTGTTTGTGTGGGTCAAAGTGTAAATGAGCTAATGATACGTTTGAGAGCAGTAGCATGCAAAGCTAAGATGCTAAATTACCGACGAGACAGAGCCGGGATCAAAACCATCTCATCCTATTAACGTGCATGCAAACACGCACAAACAATTGATCCCTGCCCTCCTTAAGCCACTTAAAGAATGAACAGTGTTACAGCACGGGATGATGAGACCTCACAGGAACACAGAGCAACAAATACAACGATCATCAAGAGGAAATGAAATGTGACAAAAAGAGAAAAATAACGAATGAAAGAAGAGTGAACATGCCACAGAGCAGTCTGATGGGTCTGGCTTTTCAAAACGAGCTCACCCTTCTGAACAAAAATGGCTGAGAGAGAGAGAGGGGGGAGGGCAAAATGTTGGCTAGGCCCAAATACCCTCCTCATCATCCTTTTAGCCACAAGGTTAGCCGATGGCAGCGTTCGAAAAAGAACATTTGGTTAGTGTGAAGGCAAAGAGGAAAACGTTCATTTCAAAATGATGTTTTTTCACATCTTCTCACAACACTCATTACTTTGTTAACTACATTCAGAAATGTTGTGACACATGTTGTGAAGTGGAGCGACTGCTGAGTTACCTGATCCGGAGAGGGTTTGTGATTTGTGTGGTCGGGGGCCGTCTTCAGATGGTCGTCCTCATAGTTGTCTGCCATCAGTTTCATTCTGTTTTGAGTCTGAAAATTAAAAAAAAAAAAAAAAATCACAAAAAGGAGATTTATTTCTACACTGGTTTATACAGAAGGGTTGTCCAACCAACAGTAAACAACCTGAAAGTCTCTTCAACCAGTCATGTTTGATATAGTTGCTAGAAAAGTTATTGAAACAAATAGATTATGATAATTAATTAACTTTCCCACTCTATATCAGTGTCATGAAGAGAAAAGTAGGTGAGTGATGCCATAAACATAAATAATTGAGGAGCCAGTTTAAGGTCAGGCTAAACATGTTGATCCATCGCTACTGGTACATCGCTGATTTATAAAGCGCTGGTTTATAAAGCGCTTAATGGTTTAGGGCCAAATTACATCAGCGACCTCCTGATTAATTCTGAACCATCCAGACCGCTCAGGTGGTCTGGGACAGGTGTGCTCTCTGTCCCCAGAGTCAGAACCAAACATGGAGAAGCAGCGATCAGTTTCTATGCTCCTTATATCTGGAACAAACTCCCAGAAAACTGCAGGTCTGCTGAAACTCTCAGCTCTTTTAAATCCAGGTTGAAGACTCACCTGTTTACAGCTGCCTTTAATTAAACAGCTTTAATAAGATTTTAAACTTTAACTCTGCACTGTAACTTTTAACTCTTTTTATATTTTTACTTTATTTATTTCAATAAATTTCATTTGAATTATTTATTATTATTATTATTATTATTAACTCCCAGCATATCTACCCCATTCTGTCCTCCCAACATTTCCTCTTTCCTTATGGCTGTCTTATCAATAACGGCAAAGATGTCCAAAAACTAGTATTAAAAAAAAAAAAGACTTTATGAAAGATCTGAAGCTGGACTGGATAATGTGCACATATATATAACCGTTGTCTGGATTAGTAAGATGTAGCTGTAGCTAATATACAAATGCTCTTTATCGTCAGAAAACCTTAAATGACCCTTAAATGAAGTTTGAATGGCACTTCAAAGCTGCGTTATAATAAACTAAGATGAACTGAAATCCAATATCTGATGTCCTGTTTATTATGGTAAAACAAAGGTTTCCTGCAGAAGATATTTTGTACAAGTAACATTCAGGAGATTATTTCAAGGCTCCCTGGAGGACTAGTCACTTCCCCACCTGCTGCTTCAGCTGCTGTACAAGTCTGTCTTTCTCCCGCTTCAGCAGAGCCACCTCATCCTGGGTCTTCTTCTTTTTAGAGGAGGACAACTCCAGCAGGGCAATGTTAGCGTCCTTCTCGCTGATAGCAGCCAACAGCGCCTCCTGTCTGTGAGGAGAGGGAGTGCATTGACGTGGCATTTAACCAAACCGGTCGATAGCTCAGTCATCATTTATTATTCATGCTCTAAATCATTCTGCCAGCTGGAGAAAGGCCAAAAATGGGATGACATTTTACAAGATGAAAGTGGGTAATCGATATGCCGGGGTCGACTCCACCCTACTGTGTGTGTGTGTGTGTGTGTGTGTGTGTGTGTGTGTGTGTGTGTGTGTGTGTGTGTGTGTGTGTGTGTGTGTGTGTGTGTGTGTGTGTGTCTTACTTCATCTCCAGCACCTCCTCCAGGTGTTTCCTGCGCTCAGCCCGCAGGGTGGAGAGGTGTGCCTCTTTCTCACACAGAGACTGCTGGGTGGAGGCCAGCTTAGCCCTCATGGACTCCAGCTCCTGCTTCACCTTCTCCATGGCCCCCAGCAGCTCCTCCATCTGGGAACACACACACATAAATACATGACTAACAATTTAAATCATGACTAGATCATAACAGAAACCTTAAAGCATCAGGGAAGGCATGTGGCTTTTTTAAGCAAAAGTTTTTCTATAAAAAGGGGCAGCAGTATATACTGTATGTTGGCCAGTGGGAGGACTATGGGTCTTTTTAAAGGCTTTATATGTGATTTTTTTGATCCAGCAGATGTCGCCCTTGAGCACCAGCATGAAACCAAAACAACTCGCGGTGCATTGTTGTGTTAGCATGCTAATGCTAGCGATCTTTATTATGCTGGTATCTTCACACTGCATGTAAATTTACCTGAAATGAGCGTGATCTAGAAACACAGTTAAGCAGTGAGTACAGTATGTTATTCTTCTTTTCTCTAGTCCCTCAATTAAACAACTTTTATACACGAGGGGAGGAGTCAGCCGGCCGTCCTGGCGATGTAAACAAAGTGAAGATAGGACTCTGAAAACTCTGAAAACATCACAGACAGTGGGACTCGGGTGTTACACCCATTGTAGACAGTCATGACTCACAGAGTTATTTTCAGAGGAGATACTTGATTTATATTACATGAAAAAAATCACATAGAAAGCCTTTAAGCACTTAAACTACAGCACTGAATTTCATTTACCTGTTATTTCTTTAAAAAAGGCACAATAGTACCATTGTTACATATTTATATATATGCTCTAATAACAATCGACTGCATGTAAGGGAGACTAAATCTTACCCCAGACTGATCAATTTTATTTGTTACTTGTTGTGCGAGCCAGCAGTTAATCAACGACATGTTTCATAATCAAACAGCAGGTAAAGAAAATATCATGGGAGTCATTACAGGCTGGAAAACAGCAACACCGTACAAAATAATGCAATCCAACAACATCAATCTCAAAGGGCCCTCGGAACGGTCAAACTTGACAAAAAGCATTTATTCCAGGGTTGTTGTTGTTGTAAAAGGAACTGCATGAAAATAATGTTCAAGTGTTGCTGTTGTTATTGTGTCCACCCCCCTGTGAGCGTCGTTGCTCACTGATTGGCGGGGTCACACACACAGAACTGGGCTCGTACCTTGGACAACTTTAAGAGGGCGAGGTTGGACTCATGCATTGGTTTGAGTGAGTGCTTCTGAGAGGCGGTGTGTAGCAGAGAGAAAACAAAGAGAAAAACAACAAGCAAAGATAAAAGAACTGAGAAAGAGACAAGAGGCCAGAGAGAGAGAGTGAGGGAGGTGAAGAGAGGATGAAAAACACCAGAAAAAAGGGGCGAGATAGAAAGAATGTACAATTACACGATAGGAGCTTCTTTTTGTGTTTGAATATGTTTCAGAATTGTTCTGTAGGAGTGATCCTGAGTTTGTGTTAGTATTGCTTTGAAATGGATGTGTGTGTTTTATGTTTTATTACACACTAAGATTTGTTTCTCATAGTCCACTGCACAGCTCCTACATTGCACATTTTGTGTTTTTTATCTTTATATTTTTAAATTCTAAATTATATATTGTAATATCTTCTTATTCTGTGTTATTTAAGTTGTTGCTAGTTCTGCTTTATTTCCTTGTTAATTGTTTAGCACCAATACACCAAGTTAAATTGTATGTGTCAGTATGTCAGTATGTGTAAATGTACTTGGCAATAAACCCAGATTCTGATTCTGATTCTGATTCTGAAATGGATGTGTATGTGTGTGCTTTATGCAGAGGTTTGTGTACCTGCTTCTCCTGGAGGCACCGGGCAGCCTCCTCTTGAGCTAGTACCATCTCTCGCTCTGCTGTGATCTGGACGCTCTCTCTCAGGGCCTCCTCCAGCTCTTCTATGCGCTCAGACTTCAGACGCAGGGTGTCCTTTAGAGCAGTAAGGGGGAAATTATGGTTTGTTAGAGAAACTTGAAAGTTTGTAACAGAACTGGTTAAATCACTGTTTTTTTTTTTTTTAACCGCACCTTCACCTGCGTGGAGCTCTCAGACATGTTGTCCTCCCTCTTCCTGGCCTCGTCCATGAGTCGAGCATTCCTACTCTTCTCCACCTGCTCCTTGTGCTTCAGAGACGCCACCTTCTTTGACTGGTCCTTCATCTGCCTGCAGGGACACCGTGCAATACATGGGGGAGATGTTACATGTTGTGTACGGGTTTGACTTCTGTCCCACTTCAAAATGTTCATTTGAACTATTATTACAGGAGAAGAAAAATCAGTACTGAGTTATCGCTTCATGCACAAGAATGGTCACATGCATTTTCAAATGGAGACATTTGAACAAAATGTCATTAACAACCATAGACTAAAGCCCGGCTCACTCTGCAGGATCATCGGGCCGATTTGAGCTCCGATTCTTCCCGACAATCTCAGGGTCTCTCCCGACTCGAGGCTGCTCGGACCCGATTATCTGTTCAGATTATCTCGTAGAGTGAGCGGTCCAAAGATCCAATCTTAACGTCCCCGATCTGCCCGCGATCGTCGAGGACGCCCCGATTTATTTCAAACATGTTTGATATTTAGAATTTAAAATCTTAACGATTACGTCATGAAAGGGTCCGGCAGAAGTTGTGTGTGACTACAATATAATCAGACAAGGGAGGACTGTAGTCATGGCAACCAGCGGCAGGACGCAACCCGGTACAGATCATCAGTGCAGCACTTTTCTGAAACTTGTCTCCATATATCTACGATTGTATCAACTTTTCTATATCCTACAACAACTTCCACTTCCTTCTCTTTCACAACCAGCGTCCTTTGTTTTTTTCAAATGAAACTTTATTAACAATTGTCAACGCTCCGTCCTGATTTCACTCGTACAGTGTGAGCTCTCCGGCCGTGCCCGACAATCGGGTCGTACAGCGTGAGCTGACATGACACCCCGACTTTTACACAATCGGGGAAAAAAAAAATCGCAGTGTGAGCCAGGCTTTACAGATTCACTTTGGTGAGAATAATGAGAGCCTTACAAAGACTCGATCTCAGACTCGGGGTGAAAGATGGAACAATTGTAAAAAAAAAAAAAAAAAAATGTTCATGAACTGATGAAAAAACTGTAGGGAAAAACAAAACGTTAAATATGTCGGGACAGGGCAACTGTCTGATCCACTTTAATATCAAGAGGCAGGAGAAGAAGGGTGTGAAAATGAAACAATGACAAAAGAAAAAGAAAAGAGGGCTCTGGGAGAAAAGTTCAAGAACAAATACTGACCTGGAGGACAAGCTGGTAAGGTGAGAGAATCCAGATGTAAAGACAAGAAAGCAGCAGAGAGATAACAGACTCAGCAAAGGAAGAAGAGTTAACGTGAAGAGACAGAGAAAGACGGAGGGGGGGACCTCATATACATCTCTTTTGTTAGCTGTACCCGAGAGCTCAGACATTCCTCCTGGGGTCCACAGGGTAAGTGTACATGTACAGCCAATAACTGCTAAAGAAATAAATTAAAGTTGGGTTGCCTAGGCGATCATTTGTAGCCGCATCTGCTAGCTTTTTGCTACAGGTTCTGCTCATTACATTTACAACATCAGCTTTCAAAAGTAATATTTCTCGGTTGTCAAAATGGCAAAATTACTCCAAAAAATTCACCATGTTCATTTTTCTGGTGGGAACATTCTCCTCAGGGTCATATAGCTACTGGAGAAAAGTCTACAGTCATGCATTTCCAAGCTAGCAGGGACAAAAACACATAGGAGTAAAAAATAGTGTAGCTTTCAAACATCATTAAAAAAAATAAAAAAGAGCATCAAGTTATTAAAACTTTAAAAAAGTTATATAAAACTTTTGTTGCACACTGTCACAACTAAATCTACACATTGTGATTAAAGACACTTCTCATACTCCATATTCACAAGGGGAACATCTTGACCACTTGTCACACATATTTCCCACCCACCTCTCCAGCTCGTTGATCTTTTTGTCCTTGTCGTTCTTCTCGTTCTCCATTTCCCGAAGGATCTCCAGCAGGCGGTCCACCTCGGCCTGAGCCTTCCCAGAGTCCTCCCTGTGGCGAACCACTTCCTGTTCCAGATTCTTAATGCGCTCAGCCAGCTCAGTGTTTGCCTGAGCCTCCAGGGCTGCATTTTGAGCCTGAGAGGAAAAAAACTGAGTATCAGTCAAAGATTGTGTTTTTAGTATCTGCTGTAAGAGCTTAGATATGGTCTGGTTCTATATGTCTGTTGGGTATCGTGCACTTTGGGTTCTTTTCTGTTGAATTGTATTTAATTATTTTTGGTATTTTGCATTTTTTATGTTCTTGTTGTTGTTTATGTTCTTCTGTGTTTGTTCTTGTTTGTCAAAGCACTTTGTAAACCTGTGTTTTTAAAAAGGTGCTATATAAATAAAGTTATTATTATTATTATGTAAAAATAATAAAATCAATAATATAATGTGAGGATTCATTTGGATCACGTTGAACTGGCAGATGTTTTGATTTGAGGATCTCACTCTCTTCAGATGGTTCTCCAGTTTGAGGCACTCCTCCTTCTTCTGCTCCAAATTGATCTCCATACTCTTGAGCTTGGAGTCCTTCTTGAGCCCAGAGGAGGCCAGGGAAGATGCATGCTCCTTCAGGTCCAACAGAGATGTCTGCACACACACACACACAGGAATATAGATGGACCTGTTCAAGCATATCAAACTAACAGTCTGGGACAGAGGAGACTGAAAACACATAAGATCCAGTACAGGCCTCTGTGACTCATCGCAAAGTGAGACTAATGGAAAAAACCCTGATGCTCATTTCTGGCAATAATGTTTCCCTGTATTATTAATAGAATCGCAGTAAACACGAGTGTCTCCTTGTTTATGCATCTCTTTCTCACCTCTCTGTCTGACAGGTCTCCCTGCAGTAAGCTCAGCCTCTCCTTCAACTCTTTCAGCTCCTTCTTGTTGCAGTCGAGCTCCTCCGTCTTTTCGCGGTCGTCTCTGTCCCGCTGCTCCTTTAGACGTTCGATGATGCGCTCCTGAGGAGGAGGAGGAGGAGGAGGTGATCACACAAGCTGCCTCTCAAAACAACATATCTGACCCAACCAGACACGTTACTATAAAAGGAACACACACAAATAAATAAATGAAATCAATAATTTGCTCACCTTTTCTGCCAGAGACTCCTCCAGTGTGGTGAGAGCTGTGTCAGTGTTGGACGTGTCTGCCTGCAAAGACTTCACTCTCTCCTTCAGGCTGCTCATCTGCTTCTCTTTGTCCCTCAGCTGCTCCTGCAAGTTCTCGATCTGCAGAGAAAGCACAAGAAACCGTCAGTACTAGGGCCTGACTGATATGGGATTTTTTGGGGAGATACTGATATCGACATAGGGATGTCAAAAATCTGATACTGATATATCTTCTCCTCTGTCGCCCCCCGGTGGTGGAATGAGTCCCTCTGCACCTTTAAGAAAAAGCTAAAGAGCCAGCTCTTTCATGAATACCTACTAACTTAATGATGATGGTCTCCATATTATTGATGATGATGATGATGGTAATGAAGATGGTTTTTGTTTGATAACAACGACTTATAAGATGGTTTCTATACTGATTAGAGCTCTCAAGAACTGCCCTCAATGTTGTGCTTTGCCTCTGGTCACTTCCTGTCAGCACCTGTGTGTCCAATCAGACTCAAAGCTGATCGTTTGCTCTTACTGACATTGTTCCCTTTTTCTAGATCCTTGCTTGTGTTGTTCTTACTCTCTGATGTACGTCGCTTTGGATAAAAGTGTCTGCTAAGTGAATTGTAGGATATCTCTCAATATCTTTCTTATATAAAATATTCGACCTTTAGAGATAGATAAATATAGATATACACAGTTATTGCCTTGATCCCACAAATGCAGTCATCAAACACTTGTGGAAAAGATATATAATGATGAATAGATGGTCACCCAACTGTAAAGTAACTGTGCATCACCGCTTGACTCTCTGTAGTGAGGTTGCTTGTTGTAATTATTCTAGCACACTATGATGGTGAAAGAGAACTGCTAGTTTAATACGATTAAACTCAAATTAAATGCTATTTGATTGGTGAAATAAATCTAGTAAAATAAGAACATATCTGCGATAAAATTAGCTGATACCGATCATATCGGCCGATATTATCGGCTGGCTAATGAATCGGTCGGGCTCTAATCAGTACTCCTGAAAATCAACCTCTGGACACACATTATTCTGTAGAACGATAAGAGCCTTTCTGTGGTTTATTTCAGACGACACAAGAAATGGCTCTCAGTCCAGATTACCTTCTTCTGAAGCACGTTCACTTTGCGCTCCTTGACCTCCAGCATGTCCTTCAGGTCGTGGATCTCCCCGTTCAGTGTGCCCTTCTCCTCTGACATTTCTTGTATCTGCTTGCTTTTCTTGTTCAAAGTTGCCTCCTTCTCTTCCAAGCGTAGGCGCAAGGCATCCACCTGGCCAGGAAAGAGTAGAACCCAAAGCAGTCAAAAAAACACTGAAAAAAAATCTTCCTTACATGAAGACTTCTGTGCTTTTTTTTAAGTCAGAAATCCTTGTACAGCACATGTTCCTTTAAAGTACCCGCTACTCCAAATCTACTACTCTCTGTGCATGACAGTTTCAGATTCAGATTTTTTTATTGTCCCACAAGGGGAAATTGGCATTGCAACAGGAGCACACAGAAGACAAGAAACACAAGGACAACATCACCATAAAACATAAACCAAAACAAATTTTAAAAATCAGACAACACAGCAAAATATAAAACCAAATAAAAACAGTGCAATAAAATCAGTCAAGAGCTCATACCAGAATGGAAATTCAAGTTATTAAAGTGCAAAGTGGAGGTGTGCAAATGTGCAATTCAAGTGCAAAAAGAGCAACAAATAGCTAATTGTTGTTTAACATATTAATTGCACTTGGTATTAATGAGACCTGGAGTATAGAAGTGTATCTACCCTACCTCTGTTTGTAAGATGGCAGCTCGCTGCTCCTTGGCAGTGAGGGACTCCTTGAGGACTTCGATGTGCTGCTTGCTGTCTGAGAACTGGTTGTTGAGGGTCTCCAGTTTGGTCTGCAAACCAAGAAGCTCAGCATCCTTTCTGGAGAGGTCCTGCTTCACCTGCTCCATCTGTCATTTAAAAAAATGAAAGGCCAGGGGGGTTTAAACATGAAAGTAATTGATTCTTTCATCTGAATTAATGAATTTGAATTTTGTGTATAAGCACACAACATCAGGTCAGTGTAACTAAACTGTCAGTAGTCTCACACCTTGTTCTTCATGAACTTGGTGTGGCTGCGGTACACTTCCATCTGCTTCATCTCCTCCTGACGCTCCTCACAGCTCAGAAGTCCATTCGATTTCATCATCAGCAGCTCCTCCTCCATGTCTCTCAGGTTCCGGTCCATCGAGTTGATTTTTGCATCCTGAGGGTCGATGGAAGAGGATGCAAGAAATGTGACCAACAAACACCAACAAACATACTCATCATACACAACTCTCCATTTAAACTCACCTTCATGTCGATGACGGTCTGCAGAGCCTTGGTTTTGGTCGACTCTGGGGTTCCTTCATATCGACGGTGCAGCTCCTGTAGGGTCAGATTAAAAAAAAATGTTAAATCGATGTTTTAAAAAATGTATGTACAACATCATATCAGAATATAAATGTGACACAAAATAGAAGGACTAATTATGCATCTTCCAAGAATGGACATTACTTCTCTTAGTGCATTGATCTCTCGCTCTCTCTGGTCCAGTAAACTCTCGAGGTGATGCCTGTGCATCTCTGCATCAGCCAGTCTCCTAGTCCGCTCCTGGTCCTCCTCTGATGCCTTGGCTGATGGCCCTGAAACACACAAAACAAACAACTTGTTTCCAATAACAAAGCAATGAGATAGAACCTAAAGATTACTTAAATGAGTCAATGTAAAAGTGTTTCTTAGAATTAAAAACCTGTGATTTATGCTTCAGACAAAAATTACATCTAAAGCCAATGTGTTCACAACTTCACAGCCAACATGATGCCATAACAACAACAAAACAGTAGCTAGCGCACACATAATTTAATTTAATTGCTAACTTGTTTGACTGTATTTGTAAAAGATATTGAATAATTTACATTTTTTTCTTCTTTTCCTGTTTCCTGCATCTGATTTGACAAATGTGTAAATCACTGGTATTTTGTGTCTCCAAGACCGTTACCATGAAAAGTCTTTGCATGACGCTCTCCGCTGTCACTAACCTAAGAAGCATTCTTGGGGTTTTAAAGCATGCATTGTGGTTTGTTTATGGAGCACATAAAACCCATATTTGTCAAGTGGAGAGAGCACTTGGGTGGAGCTGAGAGGGGAACAGCAGAAGTGACCAAAACCTTTGTAAGAAATAAAATCTTTGAGAAAGAATTGCTTGGTTTTAGTTTTTCCAAAGAGTTTTCTAGTTTTTGGCTTAACTTAAAGTCTTCATATGTGATTCTTCACACTTAAATGTAGAAATCAAGTTTATCCTCTGAAAATAACTCTGTGAGTCATGACTGTCTACAATGGGTGTAACACCCGAGTCCCACTGTCTGTGATGTTTTCAGAGTCCTATCTTCAGTTTGTTTACATCGCCTGCTACCTTTGCTCTGCAGCATCTCCAGCAGCTTCTTGATGGACTCGTCCCGGGCTCCCAGCGTTTGCTTCTGCGTGTCGATCCTCAGCTCCATTTCCTCCAGGGTCTTTCTGAGGAGGAAAAGCTCTTTGGCCTGCCTCTCGTGCTCGGCCTGGAGCCGCCTGTAGTTCTCCTCTGTGGGCTCAGAAGACAGCGCCAGGTCCCGGCTTTGGCTGCTGGGATCTTGCTGAAGGAGCTGGTTGAGGTCTCTTTGGATCCTCATCTCATCCTGAAGAGCCTGAACGGTCATCTGGAGATGCTACGGAACAAAAAAACAACAACATACATTTGGTAGCCCTCAACTGTTTGCAGAACTTTATTACAGAGATTTACACATTTTTTGACAAATGTAATAAAATGGGTGCTACTCCAGAGTGTTGTATTACAGCCTGTTCAAAATCAGCCTTTAGTCATGACTGAAAATTCCGTAATGCCCTGACAGATACACCCCCCCCCCAACAGCCAGGCATTGTGCACAGTGTTACGTTTCATGCGCTGAGAAATACAAGTGGTGAAACACAATCGGTCCAGTATAGTATTGCATTGTTAGTGGCATCTGACGCCATGGATGGACACTCGGAGACGCAGCGAGAACCGTAGCACAAGGCCGTGTTACACTCTGCTCTGAATGAGCTGTGTGAGTTTTTTTCAACAGAACAAAGAGAGAAGTCAGTGTCTGCCTTCACTTCACTGTGTCCTCCTCCTCCTTCTGCAGCCCCCTCCCTTCCCTTCCTTTCCTTTGTCATTCTCTCCTACTCCCTCCTCCCTCCTCCGGCACAAACTATTCTCCTCCTCCTCACACACACACACACACACACACACTATTCCATCCACCTTGCCTGGTGTCGACCTATCTCCTCCCTCCGATGCTCTCACCTCACCTCTCCTCTCTCTAACGCTCCCTTTGCATCACACTCTCTCACCCTGTGACTAAGGCTGACTCATTGCTCTGACTGCACTGTACACCCCTCCCATTGCTACATACACACTGTCTAAAGCATGCACAGACACACACACACACACCTTCTGCCTTTCTCAGCCCCCATATTCTCACTCTTTCTGCCTGAGTAAGAGATAACTGCCAGGTCTTTGAGAGAGCACAACGAGCAGGAGAGATGTGATGCTCCAGACTAAACTGATCCCAGCTCTCACAGTCACAGCTCGCAGTGATACAGAGAACACCTCTGCATCAGGTCATCCACTGCAATCGACCCCTCTGTTCACAAAGGCTGAATGTTAAAGATGCCCAGTATGTGATACATTCTATTTTCTATTTCTACATTCTATTTTTCACGACTCCAAAAAAAAAACTCATTACAACCGTGCAACAGCTGTTTAAAGATGACCGGCTTTTCCAAACATCTGTTGATATTTTGTTGTCACAAAGACATTTAGCAAGAAGTAACTGGTTACCTCATTAAATGGAAGATAAAAGCCATTTTTACTTATTTAGATCAGTGATTCTCAAAGTGGGGTCCCAGGACCGCCAGGGGTCTGTGAACCATAGCTTGGGGGTCCGCGGAATAATCTACAAACAATTGTAAACGTGTGCTTTATCATTGAAAAAACATATCTACAAACTGTTGACCTCTTGCACCAATAAAATCAGCTATTTTGTCCAATACTCCCGCCCACTTTAGTTTAGTGCCATTAGATCAATTCTGATATGAGTTAAAAAGTATAAGTTTAAAAGTAGCCTAATTCTATTGTTGCAGTATGGTACATTATTACATAGTATTAATATATGCTTATCAACATTAAGATAATGAGGGGGGGGGGTCCTTGGAAAAATTTCTCACCTGAAAGGGGTCCACGGTGTAAAAAAGTTTGAGAACCCCTGATTTATAGAGCAGCTACTAAAACAGTCACTTATTACTGACTGAGCTGCGGTGAATGAATCCCTTTTGTAGTAGTGATTTTTGGCCAGCATAGAAACTCATCAAATGATAAATATAGATGTTACATAGCAGTAGAAACTGATGAAGGCACAGTGGGTTGGACTTGCATTAAATTAGAAAATGAACTGAAGCTGTAATTAGCCAAATGCTTTCAGTGTGTGTGTGTGTGTGTGTGTGTGTGTGTGTGTGTGTGTGTGTGTGTGTGTGTGTGTGTGTGTCCTTGCTTTCCATTCCAATGTGTGTGCCAATGTGGGAGGTGGAAGGCTGACATATGAAAGCAGACATCTTTAAATTACAGCACCCACTGATTAGCGCTGCACTGGTCGGGCATTACTGGGAATTAGTCCGCACTGCAATTCTGTGACTCAGCTGGAGTGAAAAAACGGCAAATTATACAGACGTGGCCATCCATTAAGAATTACACTGAACTAAAAAACAAACATATTCCTCTTCATTAATGAAACTTAATTTGCTTAATTCTCTAAACCTGTAGCAGTCAATATCAAGATAAGGACATGCTGTACAGTGCATGTAAAACACTCTGACTCTAAGATTCAGTTAGAAAAAGATAATTTGTGATTGGAAAATGTTCCTCTGTTTCATAAATGTAAACTGTATGTCTTAATTTTTCGACATCCCTCGATGTAGAATTTACCAAATGAAAACCTTATTTTAAAAATTTGAAAGGCATGTTATCAAAATGCAAAAAAAAATGTATGTCTTATTTTGAAAATCAACCTGAGTTTGTTCCTTACTATTTATTGCAGTAGGAAATCTCCTATAAATTAACATTGCTCTAAAACTTTGCATTTCCCTCCATATTTGTATCCTTTTTCAAAACACAACGATTTCTATAAACACAGAACAAAAGCAGCCATTAGACATACAGCATGTGTCATCTATCGAGCACGCGCATATAGGAGCGTATAAGAGGATTAACTGGATGTTCAAAAACTAAACCTATGCAAAGAGAAGAATAAAGAGAGGAACACACATGAGCTGACACACTGGAAGAAAATACATCCAGCCAACACTTTCAACCCAGGCATTTAGTTCTTTCTACACAAATTGTGAAATAATTTAAAAAAGGTATCCCTCACCTGTGCTTCATCTTGAATAACACGATATTGTTCTTTCCAGACGGTGATCTTAGACACCTCATCTTTTCTAAGAGCTCGCTCCTTTTTTAGTTCGGGGCTCCAGAAGGTCTTGATGGAATTCATCGAGGAGCTAAGCTTGCTCTCCTTAACTTCCACTTCTCGCCGCAGCAGCTCGTTCTCACGCAGAACCTAAGAAAGCAGGACAAATAAAAACTGGATCATATCAGTTCTGTTGAAGCGGGCAAGAACTATTTATTTTTCAAAAACAAGAAGGACAAATGAATTAAAAAATGGTATAACATACCTCTTTCAGCTGGGCCTGTAGGTCGAGTATGGTGTTGTCTCTGGCCTGCCTCAGAGAATGGGGCACAGTGGAAGCCATGTGGTGGTCCCCAAAAGCTAGTGCATCACCTGCCATCATGCCCGCAGGCAGCACAGCATTGGCAGGCACCGAGGTGGAGATGTTGGGTGTGCTAGCGGCCACGACTCCACTGTTGCTGCTCCTCGACCCATATGTCACCCTTTGCCTTCCCATCGTCGTCATCGTCCCACCACTTTTGGGAATGTGGTCACCTGCCAAGGCGACCTCGTTGTCGCTGAGGTACATCGGTCCTGAGGTGGCATATGCAGCGTTGAGCGATTGGATGTTCTCCATCGATAACGTCTTGCCTCCAGCTCCTCCGGGACCGCCTCCGCTGCCTCCTGTGCTGTTGGTGCGACGGTGCCCCATCCGAGGAGAACGCGGGAGGCGAGGGGAACGGCCCGATCCCTGGTTACCGGTGCTACCTCCATCTCGTCCTCCGCTATGGTTGGCATCCCCTCTGCTGACAGAGCGAGCGCTACCGTACATCTTCTGCTAGAAAGAAGAATGGAGCTGACAACAAAATGGAAATATGACCTCGACAATTGTTGTTTAGTCTGGTAGCTGGTTTTGTGTTTGTCACTTTCACCAGTTATGTGAATATTTCTTGGTAGTCCTGCTTCAAGTGGAGATGGTGGGCACAATGTTCATGATAAAAAGAGATGTCCAGTGCACTCCACTTTCATAGACGGACGATGCTTACAAGTCGTCCCTCCTTCAACAGGAGCTATGCAGTGTGATGATTAACGTCCTGAATCCTGCAAATAAAACACAGTTGTTCCATATAAATACAATTCGCACAAGGCATCTGTAATCACTTGATGAGACATGTGAATGTACACTAAACTTAAGCTGTATCAGAATAAAACAGAATAGCCATACAAAACAAGAAGTTCACTAGCGATCTTTATTATGCTGGTATCTTCACACTGCATGTAAATTTACCTGAAATGAGCGTGATCTAGAAACACAGTTAAGCAGTGAGTACAGTATGTTATTCTTCTTTTCTCTAGTCCCTCAATTAAACAACTTTTATACACGAGGGGAGGAGTCAGCCGGCCGTCCAGGCGATGTAAACAAACTGAAGATAGGACTCTGAAAACTCTGAAAACATCACAGACAGTGGGACTCGGGTGTTACACCCATTGTAGACAGTCATGACTCACAGAGTTATTTTCAGAGGATACACTTGATTTATATTATATTTAAGAGTGAAAAATCACATATTAAGCCTTTAAGGTCATTATTTAATGGGTCCCTCCATTCTCAATAAAAGGTTCGTAGTAGGTGTCTGTCTGTTTACATGTAGCAGCACAATGTTAATGACTATAAGATATCCAACCTGTGATTAGATTTAACTGCATTAACTGGATACAGTACAGACAGATAGTGTAGCTGTATTGAGTCATAAGATAAATTCTTCTTCTATGGTTCCTTTAAAATAAGTCCTGACTGACACATTGTAACACTGAAACAGTGTAACATTGTAACATTGTAACATTGAAACAGTGTAACATTGAAACATTGAAACAGTGTAACAGTGTAACATTGAAACAGTGTAACATTGAAACATTGTAACATTGAAACAGTGTAACATTGAAACATTGTAACATTGAAACAGTGTAACAGTGTAACATTGAAACAGTGTAACATTGAAACATTGAAACACTGAAACAGTGTAACAGTGTAACATTGAAACAGTGTAACATTGAAACAGTGTAACATTGAAACAGTGTAAGTGTAACATTGAAACAGTGTAACATTGAAACATTGAAACACTGAAACACTGAAACAGTGTTAACAGTGTAACATTGTAACATTGAAACAGTGTAACAATGTAACATTGTAACAGTGTAACATTGAAACAGTGTAACAGTGTAACATTGAAACATTGTAACATTGAAACAGTGTAACACTGAAACAGTGTAACATTGTAACATTGAAACATTGTAACATTGAAACATTGAAACAGTGTAACAGTGTAACACTGAAACAGTGTAACATTGTAACATTGAAACAGTGTAACATTGAAACAGTGTAACATTGAAACATTGAAACAGTGTAACATTGTAACATTGAAACAGTGTAACATTGAACAATCTACGTAATGACGTGGTTGTGGACCAGTTTTAGAAACTGATTTGGGGTTAGTCGGTTTAATGCATTATCGTTAAACCCTTGCCGAATCTTTTACTCACACTGTCTGCAAATGTTTCTCACAATCTGAGTAAAATGTTAAAACTACGTTTATCACATTTAACGTGAACGGTTAAGTCTGCGTGGCCTTGCAAGCAGAGGACGTTATGTTAACATAGCGGCTAACTGTAACGTAACGACTCAATTTTTAACCTGTAAATCAACATTTAAGGTTTCTATTTGCTTAAATCGTGTGAAAAATGCTTCGTAAATATCACATGCCGACCATTTCTTAGGTGTAATAATCTTTCCCCAATGTGCTGACGCTGTGGATGAAGCTAGCAAGGGAGGAAAAAGGGGATTGACAATGGTGGACGTTGCAAGAAAAAAAACATATCTGCTTTTAAAATCGTCCACAAATAGAAATAATACCACATTAATTAGATAGTTGGATTTCTGACGTGGTATGTTCAGTATAACAGAGTCAAAATGGGATACATTACACCGTTTTTAAAGCATTTTGCTCAATCCTATCGAGTCCAGGGTCTAGCTTTGGAGACACCCACATCAAACCAGATCCATGTCCCTCCACCTCTACTGAACTGCTTCTCGTTTAAACCTCTCCATTCAGAGGTTTTGCACATTGATCTGACACTCTTGTAAGAAATCAGCGAAATGTAAGATAAATGTGCATCAGTTTAAGGTTAGCTCACCCTGGCATATGGAGGCTAGTCCGTCCAGTTTATGTGGTCAAGCAGGACCTCTATTTTTTCTCCTCGCTAACACAAAAGCCAGTCGGTAAGATCATCTCCAAACCTTTTCTCGGTTGTCTGGTGGACCTCAAACCGGTGTCACCAATGAATCTTCTGGCAAACGGCATTCGGCTGCAAAACCCGTCATTTTATGTTAATAACTCCATAGATAGCCTGTCTCATTTTCACATCTTTTTTCGCCAGCAGTACCAACAGCGGCTCAAGAGAGCCAGGGCGCCCGAGTGACGTCATGACTGCTGTGCGCGTCCACGACGGATTTCTTCGCCACGCTTGAGTTTTGAACGCGCGGTCACGAGCTTCTGGTGAGGGACTTTATGGCCAGGAGCAAAAAAAAACCATACATACCGACATTATGGCAAAGTTGCACACATTTTAAAGAGAATTATGGGATAAATATAAGCTATGATTACACTCAATAATAATAATAATTATTATTATTTAGCATCAATACATATATACATATAGTGTACATTCTATATATTTTATTATATTATTATATTAGTCTATATTATATTGTACTACATTATATTATATAACTATTTTTTTTTAATCTATTTTTTGTACATTCTTAATTTTTCTTTTTATATTTAAATTGTACTGTGTTCACTTTTTGTTTGCAATCTTTGCTCTTTGCTGCAGTAACACTGTACATTTCTCCGTTGTGGGATAAATAAAGGATTATCTTATCTTATCTTAACTGCACTCTGTATTACTGTGGTACAACACTGCCTCTCTTCTCTGCTGTTTTACATTACTTGCTGCTATTTATCATACCAAGTCACTTTAATCATCACTTTATCTTGTCATTCTCTGCAAATACTGTCTCAATTCCCTGCATAGTTAACGTCATCATTCATTTTGTACTTGTATATACCCCCTATTTTTTTTATATATTTTTTTAATCTATTCTGTTTAATGTGTATTTTGAGCTTACTTGTCTGTGCTGCAGCAAAGCCCGAATTTCCCCTCTGGGGATCAATAAAGTATTATCCTATCCTATGTTTTGACCTAAATGTTACTCTTAAGCTTACAATATGAATTACACTTTCATTTTACACATATTTTGTGTTGCGCAATGGTCTATAAATTGTGAGAAAAAAAATATTTAAGGAGGTGTCGTCTTTTATGACGTTATGTCAACAAATACCAGCAGGGGGCGGTGCTTGCATGTGAGAAAATGGTATCTGTGATCTGGTAGCTACAATCAAGGTATGATGGTCTTCATTATATTTGTCATAGAATACTTTATTTTCCTTTTTACTCTCGTTTGCATTCGAAACACGTCTGGAAAAAGAGAGCAGAGGCCCCGGAGACTTACTTTTGAGACAACAATGAGACCATAACTAATGATGAAAGTTATATAGTTGCATTAAATTACATTAAATTAATACACAAATTTGAATGATTTTCCAGTACAGTGTAGATATTATTGCTGAATAATGTTGTTTTTAAAGAACATGTTTTGTTGTCTTTTGGTCTTGCAAAAGTTTAACAGATGAGTGTTTCGTTAGTTAGTTTTTTTTAAATCTATTTTTTAGTATCTATCTATTTTTTTGTACATTCTTAATTTTTCTTTTTTATTTAAATTGTACTGTGTTCACTTTTTGTTTGCAATCTTTGCTCTTTGCTGCTGTAACACTGTAAATTTCCCCCTTGTGGGATAAATAAAGGATTATCTTATCTTATGTTATCTTATCTTAGATCTTTAAAATTCAATAACTTCTTAAGCAATGTTGTAAAATGTGAAATGTGTAAATAAAATGTATTATTGTTAAAATGTAATTTCTGTTTTACATTTCACTTCATACTGTTATCTACGTTACAACAAACTTCAAATATACCCTTGAAATCTGACATTTCTTCGTTTATGGCATCATGGTAATGAAGAAATGTTATCCAATTCAATATTCTTAAGTGTATATATTCAAAACTGATTTTTTAGTGTTTCGTTAATGTATGCAATCAGAAAAAAATCAGAAACAAAACGGAAGCCATGAAGGTGCTTCAAAGTGCTCTTTTCTGTGTGTTACGCTGCTGTGAGGAAGTACTTCACCCCACACCTCACAGACTAAATGGACAGCTGACCACCTCACAGTGCAATACAAGTGTGCAATATTAACCTTAAAAACAAAACAGTGCAATTATATAATGTGAAAAATATGTGTGCAATAACCTCAGGTGCAATAAGAGATGTAGAAAGTAGAGACAAGAAAACATATTTATATTTTCATCTCATTGTACAGTGTTCCCCTTTGTTATTTTGTGTATTATATATTTGCTTTAATACAGTGTATAGCTTCTGTACAGTTTATTACTACATCTTATTTATTTTTAATTTGTACTTTTCTACTCTTTTTTTCTTATAATGCTATTCTATTTTATATATAATTTTTTTTGTACTTTTCTACTCTCTTTTTCTTATGCTATTCTATTTTATATATACTTTTTTTTTTGTACTTTTCTACTCTTTTTTTCTTATAATGCTATTCTATTTTATACATCATTTTGACTTTTTTGTAGAAGCTGACTCAGGGAGAAACGCACAAGAATTCCAATGTACCTGTACTGTCCTGTACCTGTGCAAATGGCAATAAACATCTATTTTATTCTGTTATGGTTGTGAGGTCATTCTTCACTGGCGCATGCGCATTCGGGAAAAACCCGTTTCTTCGTCAATATGTAGCAACTGCGCCGTTTGCTTGTCAGAGACCACAAATCGCTACTTCGATATTCACCTTCAGCCAAACGTGTGAGGATAATAAAGATACATTAATTCTCTTAACGATGACTTCCCGATGAGGACCATTTCAACCACGGTGGTCGTCAGGTGTGCTGTGGATACGATATAAGGTAGGTGGATGTCGGCCACCCGGCACTACTTTAACCAGGACGTGGAGGGGCTAACTGTTAGCATGCTAACGGACAGCAGCGAGCATACGAGCTTTTCAAACAAGCGGCGACTGCGTGTGGTCATCGTGAAATAGCCACTATTTTTATTTAATTGTAATGTTGCCTAATAAAAAATAACGTTTCAGATAATGTTCAATTGAACGAGGGTAGCCAGGAGGTGGGTGTAGGTTTTTTTTTAGGCCATCAGCAAGACCCGCCTAGCTAGCCTTTAGCTACCCTCCTTACCCCTTTACGCAACCGGCGTCATTACGTCATTACGGGGCTAGAGCGCAGCTGAGAACGGCTCGTAACGATAATGACTAAAATGTAAGATGCTGGGAAGTTGTCAATAAAAGTAAATGCTAGTTTAATTTACCAAGTTTAAGTATTGGTTTAATAATATTTACGTTAAAAAAAACATTTGTGTGTTTAGGTTGAGTTGCTAACATGACGTGGAGATCATTCATGTTGGTTAACGTTTCACTGGTCAAAGATCGGCTAACAGCTAACTAGCTCCTCGTTAGCTGTCTCTGCTAACAAAGAGCCGTAGCCCTGTATGCTCGCTGTTGCCGTCCCAGAGGGGCTGTGGTCCCTCTTATAAAGGCGGTAAAGAACTAGGTACGTACGACAAGGGTTTCCTTAAAGAAAGATGATTAATTGGCGCTGTCTAATGTGTTGTTTCTCGGGGTGTGATGCTGTTAACGTTACCAGGTTTGGATGTGACATTGGGGGTTTCCTGCAACTGTGGCAGATTCTAAGGTCTAGATGGCAAATATCAAATATGCATGTAATTTTAATCCTAAGAGTTCAGAAGATTATAACAGATGTCATTAAAAACAACTGTAAGCTATTGCAAAATAAGTCAAATTAAATGGTGCCAGTCTTTTGCATCTACGTTATGCATGTTGCAAGGTTTATATCTCTGTACATATATAAACAACACAACTTCAGAAGGTCAACACCTTTTTTATTTTTTATATTCAGGTCTAATTACAGATATTTTTCCTCAACTGTTTATAGGTTATTGTTTAAATGTCATATATATTTTTATCCCTGCACGGGTTATGTGCATTTCTTGTATAAGTCTATTTTTAACTGAACAGTTTAAGTTTGATTCATTAAAAAAAAAATCAGGTTAATATATATGTATGGGGGGGGGGTCGGGTTTGTGGTTAATTTGTAACAAATGTTTCATGTCATGTCTTTGTAACCTGCTACTGGATACTTTGACTTTAACTCTGGATCAATAAAGTATCTATTTATCTATCTATAGCTCTAAGTTAAGCTTTATCTTACACTTATAATACTTATAATTGACACAGTTTACCCCGCATGAGTTTTTCCAGACTATTCATCTACCTCTTAGATAGTGGTATACTTATTCTTTTGTGTACTGCTAATGATAACCTGTCATTCAGTTCTACCTCATTATTACCACATGTGAGGTATTTAGAGGTTAGTGTGTCATCCTGGCTGTGGAAGGACGATGCGAATTCAATTTGTGCCACATGAAAAGATGACTGTCTGTATTAAGAACTTCATTTACATTCAGTAAATGGATTGTAAAATAATTGTGTGCTGCTGACGGAAATATAACATTTTCTATCTGCATACCTTCAACCACGCTACTTCAAGCAGCTGCCATACGAACATGTCTTGTGGCAAGACCGCAAATCTTCTTGGGGGGGGATTTTAACCTTCTATCAAAGGCATTTGTAAAAAAAAAAAAAAAAAAAAACTTGATAACCAACTTAAAAAGTGTCTGATACACTGCACTAAGGTTTGTTGGCTGTGACTCCAAAGAAAGCATTTAACTTAATGTGTACTGTAAATTCTATGTGTGAACACCTTTGTTGTTGTCTTACTAATCCTGTTGACAATTGACATAAAATAAGTTACTTTTAGACACATGGTTTCTTTTTTTTTCTCTTGCAGTGAAAGTGGACTGGGGAAGAATTGGAGTGTCTGGCTGTCCTGCCTTTGCCCACAGTAGGACGTTTGGTTCCCGTTGAAGGCAGTGCACGTGTGTTCCTTAACAGTAATTCCTTATGCTGGTTAGGTGCTGCACCGTGTGTCTTACAGGATGGATGATGTGGACTTAAAGAGACTTGTGTATCTTCATCGGCACTCTGTGTTCAGCTGTGGTATTCAATCTTTTGCCATTTACAAGAGAACACCCCCCATCCTACTCCTCCAACTCCTGCACTCTATGTGTAAAGATTGTCTTTAGAGACAAGAGAAACGACAGGCTGAGATAGAAGTTGTGAGACTTTCTATCTTATTTTAAAGCACAGACCATTACTGCTTACATAAGCTTATATGGCAGACATGG